AAAAGGTTATGAAGTCAGCTTTTAAAAAGATGCCAAAGCAGATGTGGATTCCTTTAAATTAACAGGACGAATTATAGAAAAAAAAAGGATTAATGAAGTCAGCTTTAAAAGATGCCAAAGAAATGGATTCCTTCCTAACTATTGAGAATGCTTAGAAAAAGCATTTAATCATTAAGATGCCAAAAAGCCAAGAAGCCACCTTCCTTTTTAAATTTACAGATACGATTTATGAGAAAAAAAACGTTATGAAGTCAGCTTTAAAAGATTTGCCAAAGAAATGTGGATTCTTTAAATTAACAACGAATTATAGAAAAAAATCTTAAAGCCTAAAAGACCAAAAGTTAATTTTGAAAAAAAAAAAAAAGGAAGTCTAGCTACTTTAAAAAAGATGCAAAGAGATGTGGATTCCTTTAAATTAAACAGACCTTTAAATGCTTAAAAGGAGCCAAAGAGATGTGATTCCTTTTAAATTAACAGACGAATTATAGAAAAAAAAGGATTATGAAGTCAGTTTCAAAATGATAATCAAAGGGTGGTAATGAGACCCACGACTCACCTGGTCGCCTTGGTAATTTACTCGAGACCCAGATAGGAACCTCTGCCTGAGCGAGAGCAACAGGCGCAGGATAATCGAAAGGAAGACGGTGCCGCAGGTCTGATAATCTGGTGAAAGAAAATGTCTTGTTTACATTTATTCATTATTCAAAATTTATTTATCATTGCTTCCAGTTTTTTAAATGTACGTTGAATTTGAGTATACTTATATTTCGTCGGAAAGGATTTCTTGTGTAAAATCTAGTTCTTTCAGTTTGCTTTCCTGGTATTTTATGCAATCATCAATATATCCGTAGTTACTTAAAATCTACATCCTAGATAAATATTAGTATTTTTTTGGTCCAAATTTATATGTTGTTTTTTGTTTTTTTGTTCTGAATCTCTTAACAGAATGCTTTGAAATGACATTTTGTTTTCCACAATTAAAAAATCTAAACACTTACCTTCATTCACATGGGTGAAAATAGAGAAGGTCCTTGTGTTGGAAACAGAATGATTCTGAATGAAAGCTGCCGACGAGGTACATGCAGTATGTGAGGCGCGAGAGAGGGCTGTGCACGAAGGATGGAGAGGAAAGTATTCACTGCACCTGCGAAAAAAGAAAGAAAAAGAAACACAAACTATAAACTGTATCTTTAAAAGTCAATGAAAGAGGCATAATGGGGTCGTTCTGCTGACTGACCATGTGCTGTTTACACGCCCGAGAGTCCTGTTTCGAGACTTCGAATCCTACCTACTCCATTACTGAGTATAATCCTTAAATTCTTAAGGTTTAGTCATGGATCTCTATAATAATTTGCTGTTGTGCAGCATTTCTTTCTTCCTTTGACCAAAAAACAGAAAATTCTCGCAGAATCATCAACGTTTCAAGGGTTTAGTCACACCTTTATTAGACTTGAATAATTTTCATTAGCATTTCGGTATTATATGTATATATATATATATATATATATACACTCATTATATAGTTATATTATTATATTAATATATATACACCTGATATATACACACACACACCACAATACAACAGTATATATATATGTGTGTGTGAAATTTCCATATGAAAGAAAAACGCACACACCCTCCGTAGCGAAGTGACAAGCCACCACCACCCAAGCCAGAGCGAGACACCAAACCCGCCCTGTGCAGACCGCCGTACAAGACCTGGGTTTATCGGGTCATAGTAATAGGTGTTTCCTATTGTGGTTGAACTCCACGCGCCGAGCAACACCGCCAGAGCCGAAAATACGGCCCACGTCCAGCCCGTCAATACCTGCACCTGGATTAAGCATACAAGTATTTACCATTTTACTGCTCGCTCTAAGCAAAATCAACATAAGGATAAGCAGGAAATGAGTGAAATATCTCCAAAAAGCTGGCTATATACTTTTTGTATCATCTTACAGGAGACAAGACGAGTTTCTTTGATCCCTGGTTGAAGATGATGTAGCCAGTCCAGATGCCCACGATGTAGGCGCTCATGCGGCACCACGGAGTGTAGTATACCTTCCTCTCATAGCCTGTGTTGTCAACGTTGCTGTGGAATATGAATGAAAAAAATTCTGCTGGTGGCTAAGATGGATGGCGCTTCATTTCGTGCCCTAAATCAAATGTAAATAAGAATTTGTTGCAAACTTTTTAACTTCTTTCTCTGTTTCACTCATATAATGAAAGGAGAATGAATGGAGACACTCTTGTGAACGAATGACGGTTTAATTCAACTTATGAACTTAGAAGGGAGAGGCCAAAGTCATCTTTTGAACCGCTGATGAAAAGGGGGTCACGATAAGAGTTCACTTACTCATCACCGCCCCAGATCGACCCCGGAGGAAGGTCGTAGGCGTAGGTAACAGCTGCTGGGATTATGAAGGACACCAGAGTTACCAGGAACAGCAGAATCTTCCCTGGAGTAAACAGATTAGAATCCCTGTCATTGAGGCGACGCAAAAAATAAATTATAGAATAAAATATGTATTTTTTATCCTACAGTTACATAAGGATAGAGAGAAAAGGTACAAAAGCAGCTAAAGATCCAAAATCTTTCGAGTAAGGGAAGAGGGGGCCAACAGTACCTTTGGAGGGTAGAAGGCGAGGGGCAGCAGCACGAAAGGAGCCACCAGGTACAGCTGGGTGTCCACGGCGGGTGTACCAGCACTGGCCGAGCACTGCACAGACACGGGGAAGGTACAGTCATAAAGGGAATTATAGGAAAATGAAAATAAATACGATATCACAGTGACTTTATCAGCATGTGCTTATGAGTATATGTATGACCATATCCAGTATATATATATATATATATATATATATATATATATATATATATATATATATATATATATATATATATATATATATATATATATATATATATATATATATATATATATGCTGGGGGTGGGCACGACACCTCTTTTCGCGACGGCTCTGCCAGCAGCAATCATTCACCGTGTAGAGGCAGACAGTCATAACCACTTACATCTGTTAAAGTATTAGTGGTAGCGTTGAAAGCGAGGAAATTATTGACGTAGAGGACATCCATCCACCAATTGTCAGAGCAACTCTTATAAAGGGTATTCACGGAAGGCGCTAGGGGGCCTGACGGTATGAAACGAGCGACCGTCGCCAGGAAGAGCGTGACAACAGCAATTGGGGGTGTTAGCCTGAAAGGGAGCGTTCGTATAAGGAAGAGAGAGAAAGCGGTTGCCTGATCTTTCATTCGGAGCATAAATCTATTGTATTTCTTCAGCACTCACCTTCATCTCAACTGTTAATCTTTGTAACGTATCTTACTGCATCTAATTCATATCCCTAACTTTACATGGAGCACATTATCTAAAGCAAGCCGAGAAGATAGGCTTTCGAACACAACAACCAAAACATTAGCCCTCTTAAATCGGGTCATTCATTACCTGATAAGTCTGTGGACAATGTACATGATGATGTTAAGTTTGCCCGTCCTCTTGATCTCCTTCAGGACGCCGTAGCTCACCAGAAGCCCCGACAGGAATAAAAAGGAGTCCGTGCTCACTGTGGCGTTGAAGATAATTTGGAAGAACAGTCCGCTCGTCCACTGCGGGAGAGACGCCATTCGGAACAGACTTCGACAAGTTGAGAAAAAAGACGTAATAGGGCTGTTTACAAGCGCTTCTTTTCATCAGTTCATTTTTTATTTTATTTTATTTATACATTTATTTATTTATTATATTTTTATTTTATTTATTTTATTTTTTTTATAAAGATGAGCTTCTTTTTCATGTTTTTTTTTTATTTTATTTATTTTTTCATGTGTATTGTATTTCCATATTCCACAAAAATATCAATGGCATACCTTGCCTATATGAGAGTAGTTGTAAGAGATCAAATATCGAAAAGATACTGATGACCAAGGATTACCCAGCCCATCGACAAGACCCTGTTGAGAAGTGGATAAAAAATTAGTGTGTGTGTGTGTGTGTGTGTGTGTGTGTGTGTTGTGTGTGTGTGTGTGTGTGTGTGTGTGTGTGTGTGTGTGTGTGTGTGTGTGTGTGTGTGTGTGTGTGTGTGTGTGTGTGTGTGTGTGTGTGTGTGTGTGTGTGTGTGTGTGTGTGTGTGTGTGTGTGTGTGTGTGTGTGTGTGTGTGTGTGTGTGTGTGTGTGTGTGTGTGTGTGTGTGTGTAAGTATAGGTGTATTTCGAGTATGTTCGGGACATGCTTTATTTACCTAGTTAATGATTTATTGCTAGGTTGGCACATATGACCAGATTCAGGTAAATACATCGGAAAAGCACCTCATTCCGGTGAGACAGGTGATTATCCCGGGTCGAGGCTCCGTTGTTATAAGGAACATTTTCTCCAAGTTGGTGTACACGGAGAAGGGCAGGAGGAACCGGCGCCTGTCGGTAACAATAGATATGATACATTTGACGCACACACACGCACACGCACACGCACACGCACACGCACACGCACACGCACACGCACACGCACACGCACACACACACACACACACACACACACACACACACACACACACACACACACACACACACACACACACACACACACATACACATACACACACATACATACACATACACACACACACACACACACACACAATATAATATATATATATATATATATATATATATATATATATATATATATATATATATATATTTATATGTGAGAGAGACAGAGAGAAAGAGATGAAAAAACAATCTTGTAGTAATAGTAGTATTAGGTGTTGTAATAATGATAATAATGATAGTGCAATATTAATAATATCAATGGTAATAATAATAATAATAATGATTTTAATAATAATAATAATAACAGTAATAGTAATAATGATAATAATGATAATAAAGAAACCATGGATAATAGTAAAAACAAAGATAAAGAGAGTAATAGGATAATAAGTATAACAATAAGAGTAATAACTTTAACCTGGATATCATAAACCTATCCTGCTTTACCTGTGGCAGTGGCAGACCTCTTGGCGAAGCGGCAGAATACGTCGATGACAGTGCCAATCACCATCAGTGCCAACATGATGCTTAGGAAACTTCTGCAGGTAGAACGAGCCTGTGTCACTTCAGTAAACATTTTCCGTTAATTTTTTCGTTCAATCATGTATGCTTTGTTTTTTTTCCATCTATGTGTTTTATTCGTGTATCTTTTCTAATTCTTATTGCTGTTTCTATTCATTGATTTATAAACTGGTGATGTAGTGAGAGAGTAAATATTTTATGTGTTCTTGTGTATGTATCTGCCTGTGTGTTTCTCATTATGATTCATTGGACATTTTTACTCACATGACAGCGATATCCGCGCCGGTAAACTGAGGTGTCTCGTCCAGCGTCTGACACATGACACTCACTTCTTTAATGCCATCGACAGCTTTACTCACGCTTGTCTGAGCAGAAGAAAAATAATTAGAAAAATATGCGAATTGCGGGTTATATATCAGTTATTTATGAATATATATATGAGTATTCCGCGTTATATAGTTATTTCACTGCATATAACAGAATGACATGCTGTGGCTGGCGAAACGTAGTGCTGTTACAATGAAGTAATTCGCAGAATATGATAGATGAGTAAAATTGAATGTATATTATGATTCGTTTTTTTCACTCCCGGAACTCAGATTCTCATTGTATTTTACTTTCACTCTGGATAACGTGAGAAAGTTTTTGGGTGGACTTCATACATAATCGTGGTATGAAAATTAAATAAAAATGAAAAAAAGAAAATGAAAGGAAAAGAAAAAGAAAGAAAAAAAAAAAGAAAAAAAAAAAAAAAGAAAAAAAATACTAAAAGAAAAAAATAGAAAATAGAAAGAAAGAAAGAAAAAAAAACACAAACACACACACACATATTTATGTATGTATGTGTGTGTGTATCAGTGGAGTGTTAGAATGTCATCCGCCCGCGAGTTACGGATGGATTTGTCTATCTGTAATGAACATTTGTGTCGCATGTTTGTGCTGGAATTGTGGCCGCCTTGGTACAGTGGTAACGCAGCCGTTTGGGCAACTCGGGTGGGTTCGAGTCCTCCTTACGGACTGAGGTTAGAGAAAGAACACTAACAGATACTACGAAATCCCAAGTCCGAAGGAGTTCGTGACCTAAAACCCCAATGACCACCAACCCGAGCCGTGTCACTGTCAACATTCTAGCTCTTCTTGGCTTGAAACCTCCCCGCCCATAACCCTCAAACATTATTCATTGACTTCAGCTCAAATACACCGGAAAATACGTACCATCAAGTCCGTTTCCGTGCAGGCGTCGGGGATGCACGTAGAATACCGAGAAGAGAACCCTACGTACGTGTTAGCGAAGCCCTGGATAAGGAGAGGTCTGGCTTCGTCTTCTCTTTGGCTTTGGGCGACGGTGGTGTTGTCCCTGGAAGGAAAGAAAGAAAAATAATATATAAATCGGAGCTTATCGTCTCTCCTCTCCTTTTTATCCGATTGTATTCCTATATAAGCTGCTTCTTAAAAAAAAAAAAAAAAAAAAAAAAAAAAAAAAAAAAAAAAAAAAAAAAAAAAAAAAACATAAATTAATAAGTAAATAAATAAATAAACAAATAAATAAATAAACAAATGACTTACTTCAGGACGACGGTACAGAACTTCCCCTTGAGGCCGAAGTCAGGAGACTGGGCTCGGACGCACTCGCCGTAGACGCCGACGCCCACGAAGTGAGGGTTGCCGTACAGGAAGCCGTCGGGAGCTTCCCCCACGAGTCCACCACTGGGGAAGAAATTGACGAATTGCGTGAATCTATAAGTACATACGCATGTCTATGGATGGTTGTTTTGGCACTATATATATGGATACATATTCTTACATGTATACACACACACACACACACACACACACATATACATAAATATATATATATATATATATATATATATATATATATATATATATATATATATATATATATATATATGTGTTGTGTGTGTGTGTGTGTGTGGTGTGTGTGTTGTGTGACATGTATGTATGTATATGTATCCATATATATAGTATACCACTCTGTTCACCTATCCATAGACATGCGTATGTACTTATGATTCACGCAATTCACACACACACACACACACACACAACACACACACACACACACACACACACAACACATATATATATATATATATATATATATATTATATATATATTGTGTGTGTGTGTGTGTGTGTGTGTGTGTGTGTGTGTGTATGATATATACATATACATATAATACATATGTATATATATTATATATATATATATATATATATATATATATATATATATATATATATATAGGCACATACACACATGTGTATATATACATATAACCAAAACATGTACACATAGATTAATGTATAGATAGACAGATAAGCAGAGTTAGGATTGAAGACTAAAGACCCAAAAGACAACGCAGCATGTGACTCTCTTACTCTGCAGGACCCCCAGCGAGGCGTTGCTCTCGAGGGCGGAGGCCATGGCGGCGAGGGCGACGCCGCAGGGGGACGCGGCGTCGGCGAACACTGGCAGGTACAGCGACCACGGCCCAGACTGCCGACTGCAGGAGGAAATGTCTTTAGTTATGTAAGAATTCGAGGGCTCTTGCTAGTGTGAAGAAAGTCATCTTTTATATGGTAGTTTTGGAGGAGCCACGTAAAAGCAGTCCAATAGTCGATTTCATATAGTTGTCTATGTATCTATCCAGTTATTTGAATGCAAGGTGAGCATGCACACATCACACACCACACATACACACACACACACACACACACACAACGCACAATACAATTGCACATAAACATAACATGCCATCCACATCCACATATCCACACACACGGAAAAATCTGTATATAAGTATCATATATATATATACCATATATGTAGCCTGCCGCCTATTGCCCTTCTATATAGCTATATCAGAATATATGGTGTGGTGTGTGATGTTGCTGTGTGGTGTGTGTGTGTGTAGTGTGTGTCGTGTGTGTTTTATGTGAAGCATCATAAGTATGCTATCATGCCATGCTAATAGCT